TAAGCTTCCTAATGGGGAATTAAATGCTTGCGAAGCGGCTATGAAAAGAACCTTGTTCACATCACTGTGAGGACTATAATCAAAGAAAAAAAGGATTCTTGCAGGCCTGGTCAATCAGTTTAACAGTTATTCGAAAACGTAATGGACGATATGAAAATTTAACTAAAAATTCCACGTGTGATAACCAAGTTACTGTAACGAGTTGACTTGTAGATCAAAATGCCATATGCAACGGAGCTAAATCGATTTTTCAAAGACTGAATTAGGATTATGGAAATACCGAGAAGGATGAAAGTTTTGCAGCCAGCAATGCATAGTTAAACAGATTTAAACCGTGCCGTGATTGACATATCATTGCATGGTCTGGAGAAGCGGCGAGTGCCGATAAAGAGGCTGCTCTTTCCCCAAGAATTGAAAAGATAATTGAGGATGGACAGTATTGCTCCAAAATTATTTTTAATGTTGGAGGAAAATACTTTTCCTAGATTTAAATGGGCAAGAGATCGGCACAGTGTGATGCTTGATGGCAGTGCTGCCGATGATTGCAAATTGAAACTACTTCTGATCTGACAGAGAATTGTACAGCTCTGAAGAAAAGTCATATGCTGGCCTACCAATGATATATAAATCCACCGCTAAGGCATAGGTCGCTGCTTCTGTATTTGAAGGTTGATTTAGCTATCATTTTATCCCTAAAGCCGAACGCTATTGCCGCTCTCAGAACTTACCTGTAAAGTGATGCTAATTTTCGACAGTCCTCCAGGGAACCTTCCAGCAATTCTTGTAAACTTTAATCCTCAAGTGAAAGTGGTGCTTATGCTCTTAAACACGTATTTAATTCAACGGACCAGGGTATGATTAAAACTTAAAGCTTATGATATCTGACGATCCTGTGCCCGTTTAAATGCAACCCTGAAACAAAGTAGTGAGATGAATGTGAATGATTTCTGGATTGAGATTCATGGGCTGAAGTTTGCGAAGGAACCATGAATGGTGTATGGAGAAGCCCCACTGTCCGTTTTTATTTAGTGGGTCCAGAAATTAATCACTGCTGAAGCAACAGAAGAAATGATCGTCTTTGCTTCACAACTTGATTTGAAGGTTGAAGTTGAAGATGTTATGGAGCTATCGGACTCCCATAATGAATAGCTCACACTGCATGATATAGAAATTTGTGATCAAAATGCCGTCGAGGAAGCTGAAGGTCCTGAACCAGAATATTATCACGATGACAGTGAGAAAGTTATCTGAAAGCCTTGAACTGATTGAGACCGGTCTGATTCGAATTAAAACCTAGTAACAGTTGCTAGACAAGTCATAAAGGAGGTGATCACCCGTTAAAAAGAAATTTTACGCTAGAAAAGTTCTATATTCCGCCAGATTTCACTGCTTGATTTCTTAAAATCATCTTCCTTTAACAATTGACTGCTTTACGTTCATTTTATTGCACTTAATGTGTAATAGAACGTTATATGTGATAAACGTTATAATTCGACCATAGTTGTTGCATTTTTATTGATCGAACTCACTGCAAAAACCAATTATTTCACTTTAATATGAAATTGTATGAATTTTTTTATTTCGACTACGTAAAAATTAGGTATCGACTTACTCTGTTTATAGAACCACCTACGACTGAGCTTATAGGTATTACTCTATTAATTTTCGATTTTTGTTCAAAATTATAATCATTGTATTATTCGTTTTCAATAAATAATGAGTGTACAACCAACTGATCATTTGTTTCTTTCAGACTTGCTTTACCTCAGCAGCAAAAGTCTGAACCTCCGGGACATGACGGACAACAAAAGCGCCGTTGTGACTGCTAGTCGAGCCGTGTTTCTGGAAGATTCAGCGAATCATCGAGCCCCGGCAGTCGTTGTTGGTTTCGAGATGCTGTATCTGAGCTTTGAGGAGATGATGCTCAACGCCAGCAACAAGGTTTGCCGGGTAAATCCAAGTTCTGTTGTGTTGTTTCCTTTACAGAATTTATATTTGGCCCCGTTTTAGCCTGGCAGTTCTATACGCTGTTATCTGCTGGACGAGCACGGATACGTAATATACGCCTCACCTCCTCAGGACATACGAGAGGTTTGTTTTAACTTCTATCGCTTGTACATTGTCATGTGCTCATTGACCGGTTTTCTAGGAAATGTTCTATCTTCGTAGTTTCTTCGGTCGTCTCAGCCTTGAGCATACTGTTAACGGGGGCGTCGAAAGGTTTTTGATGAAAAAGCTTGTAGACAAATACGTGTACAAAGAGTATGTGTTCATTTCGAGCTGCGCAAGACTTCGTTACTTTGCAGCGTTTTGCTTTAGAGTGACTTTCGTGGATTTTCAGGCATTGTGCCTCGAATTGCATCTGCCTAGCTTCTCGAAGCGACTGATGAATGTAACTTAGCTCTTTATCGTTTTGTGACCAATTTCCTTTGCTATTAACATGTATTTTCTATTTTAGCCTTTTCTTTCACTAGTGAAATTGCTGTTTTGGTGTTCGAAAGCGTTATATAAGTATGTCATTGTGTTGCTGAAATTTATTTGTGCGTTATATTTAAAAATCAATTTAGCACCATTATCCAATGCAGCTTTTGGAGTCTGATCTCTGGCTTGATCGCTCGCATTAATGGTGGGTACCCTTGTTGGCAGTGCATGTTTGTGCGTGCGCTATTTCTTTTCATTAAACCTGTTTACTGTTAAGGTTACACTCCGACGTTTCATGACATTCACGAGGGGTTGGCGTGCGACAAGGCTTCTTCGTTCTACCTGCTAAACAAGGATTTTCGCGGTCCAGTTACCTTGTCAGAAGACAAGGTGTTGTGCACTGGGTTGAATTTCAAGGAGACTTCTTACCAGAAGAAGATATCATGCAACTTGTAAGAGAGAATTTTGATGCTTTAGTTCGCTTTGAGGTATTTGTTTTCGTCATGACTAGGAAAGCGTACGCTGTCAGGATCAAAAAGACTAACCTGGTGTTGGTCGTCTACAACTCTGACAATGGTCGATGTGACGATGACCTGTGCAAGTTGCACTTCATGCGAAGCACGGTACCATTCGAATTCACCGTCCTCGCTTATGCGACCGACAAGCTTGTTCATTCCTCTGGTTGCAAAACTATTTCTGCCCGGTACAGAAGGTCGCCATCGGTCTGTTACGCGATTGATGATCACGTAAGCTGTTCGAAGTGTTGCTCAGTCTCATTATAATACAGTACTGGAATAACAGCTAAACGAAATGCTGCAAGAAACAAATATGCCGTGCGTTATTCTTCAGAACTGTTTGTAGCAACTCGATGATTAACTGTGTTGAGACCTGGTGATGACCTGAATTGATTGGCCTAAACGCTGACTGCAAAACAGATGACATGGACTATCATCACATGTCTGCATGTTTTTGTAACTATTTAATCAATGGACGAATGACCGTCGAAAGCGCGCGCACTGACACATGCATGTAAACGAATGTCAGTCAGTTTCGATAGCTGCTTATCCTCTCGAGTCATGGAGTTAGCAGCTTCAGAAAGTATTTCCAAAGTTCGTGTCAGCGTCTGAGTTTTGACAGAAGATAACCTGAGTTTAGAGAGTGTCTGTCAAGACGCTTCTCTCAGGTCGTTCTTTCCCTTCCCTCGCGGGTCTTCGGTCAGCCAGTTG